CAGGAGTGTGAATGTGAGTTCTGTAACAGAAATGTGCACTTTGCCTGCCGTGGATGACTGACTCAGAGGAACAGTAGAGGAGCTATCTTCTACAAGGCTAGAAGCCTGGACCCTGTAGCAAATACTTTCAGGGGTTGACTACACCTGAGGAGGGTTAGATGTGAGAACTCATCCTCTAGATTCCTCCCAAATAATTGTTGTATTGTTTGAAACCATGGCAAGATAATGGCCAAGTTTCATTAATGTTTTCCAATAAAGGATACATGCTGATATTTACAAGGTTAATTCTGACAGCCAAGAAAATTAACTCTCAAGAAATCTTGAAAGCATTGACAGTCAGCTACCTGCTTAGAAGGTAAATAAATGATAATGTATATACAACATTTACATGTTTTCTTGGGGAATGGACAGCTCCAAATGAAACCAAGTTGCACAAGGTTCCTGGCCTTTGGATTCTCAATTCAACACTTTCATCTTCTAAATATGCATCCCTGAATTACTCTTTTAACCAGTCTGTGCCCTAATTTTCTCATTTGAATATTGAAACACTAATGCCATATCTTTGTGGACATCCCAAAATGATAGATCAAAGCCATGATGGTGTACAAACTGAAGAGCCACGTGGAAGCCTGTGATGCTACACAAAATTCCAAGCTGTGGTTCTAAGTTCAGAGTTGTCTTTCTGTGTCCTTGAGTGGTGAGATGACGGAAGGATCCCTGTAACATCAAAAGTTGTTGAACAAGTCCTTACGTAAAATGCCATGTTTACATGAAGCTTCTGTCATCCTTCTATATGCTTTCAATCATCTCCAGACTCTGTTTATTGCTGGACACAGTATATAAATTCTATGTTAATAACTGATATACCACATTGTATCAGGAAAACACATTTTTGTCCTGCCCAAACACCATTTCTTTCAAATCCATTTAATTCACAGTTATTTCTACCCATGGATGTCAATAAGGATAAATAGAGTAGGCTACAGTTTTTCCAGCAACACTTGAGGAATGAAAAGGAGTCAGAGACTTTTCTATCTCAGAACTAAAACTTTGCTGATTGGGCTTTTTCAATCAGAAAACATTATATTGAAATGATTTTATAATTAGACTTAGTAAGCATAAGACTCTGTGCCATAGATATCAGGACACCAAGTGAAGTGACAACCAGTTACATTGCCAAGTCACGAGCACACCATCTATGAAAATCATGTCTCCACATCCTTAAATCATCACTTGAAAGGTAACTTTTAAAACTTCCACTTTCTACGATGATGTTCTGATCAAAGTTTTACAGATTTTCGGATACTAAGATTTCTAAATTTTATAGATACGAACCAACCCTTTTTTCTTTTTGCAAGTAACCCCTGCTATTTTAATGAGTTCTAATATACCTTTGAAACAACTTATAGATGAGATATCTAATTGCCACTCATTTGGAACTCTGTAGGGGCTAAACTGTATTTCCCTTCCTTTCTTCAGTAAAGTGTTAAAGGAATGGATTGTTATAAGCCACTTTTTTTCTTCTCAATTATGCTTTGGAAAACAATTTAAAAAGAAAATAAAACTACCCTCAAAGCTTAGCATTTTCGAAGCGCCATATTTGAGATTTAAGAGGATATTCTTATACAGGTGATGGTTAACAACTCATGTTTTAAGGAATTTATCTATAAGTAATCAATGACAACTGTTATCATTTTACTAAACTTGTTTGGAAAGAAGCTGACTGCATACTAACTTATCACTGAAGCGTCCTTTGTAAGTATGAGGAAATCAAGTTTTTTCTTCACTTCCTAGAGCTTTCCACATTTGCACATCTTAGGAGGTTCAATAATTGGCTTGTTATTTTTAGAAAGGAGTTAGTTTAAAAATCACACCATAATTTAGATAAAAACATCACTATGGCAACCCACAGATGAAGATGTACCACCTCTGTCACTGTGAGTATACATATGAATGCTTAGAAATAAATTTTTCCAGAATAACACAAAACCCATTTAATACATGTTGAGAGAATTCCCCAACAAATATTGGATACTTCTGACACCATCACTCAAAAGAAATAACTGTGAGTTGGATTTAATTTATATTATCTTCTCAAGGAATCTGGCAAGGACACACTGACCTGACAGATTTTTCTGATGCTGTTAAATTCTTCATTAAGACCACTGAATAAATAGGATATTAAATGATACTAGTCGTCATTGGCTTGAATAAGCGTACTATATATAGTGATTTTTTTTTATATTGCCCCATGGTAGTCAATAAGGGTCATGTATTGAGCATGCAAGAGATGAAACTAGCCAGGCATGTTGGCTCATACCTGTAATTCCACACTTGGGGAAATTAGACAAGGGGATAACCTTGACTTTGAGTTGAGTCTGGACTGTACAATGAATTCAAGGCCAGCCTGGGCTACCTAATGGTATCCTACTCAAAAATAAAAACAAACACAAACCAACAGCAGTGCAACAACAAAGGCCTCAAAACTCAGGAGATGAGAGTATAGTTTTCAAACTAACTTGAGAAGGACTGTCTTTGCATTTGCTTATGCATTTGGTCACTGGCCCGGCACAAGTGTACTGAAGACTGCAGCTGTAAAGCCAGGGCCTGCAGGATGTGATGCTAAGGAAACCTCTGGTCTACAGCATTATCTCTTTCCTTCCTTCTAATCATGATGGTGGAGCTGGGCTGGTCCTCATCCCCTTATGCCTCAAACCTATTAGAGTCCCTTCAGTGGGGAGTGTCACCCTCAGCAAGTTCCACTGTACTCAGGCAGAGATAAAAGTCCTTGTTCAAGAGTGTCACCACCAATGCCAGCCACAATGGTGGCAAATGACAGATACTATGTCTTCGAGCACTGGCTTTATACACTTTATAATATAACAGTCACTAATCATGAAAGTAAAGCCTATTTTGAAATCATTTTCAAATCATAATGTCTCATTAATTAGATGTAGGAGCACTACACAGCTTGTCAATTTCCTGGGTTAGTGAAGAAATACTGCCATCCTGTTTTCCCCTTTGCAGGGAATTCTGCAAGGCTTTCCTGGAATTCCCAGAGGCTTTGCAGCAGAGAAACTGCAGAGGATCCAACTCAGTGAAGAAGATGCACAATCTTTTTGGTTGTGAGCCTAGCCTTTAACAGCTGAGCCACCTCTCCAGCCTGATGCACAAGCTTTTTTTTTTTTTGGGGGGGGGGGGGAGGGGTTTGTTTTGTCTTTTGACACAGAGTTTCTTTGTGTAACAGTCCTGGCTGTCCTGGAACTCACTCTGTAGACCAGGCTGGCCTCAAATTCACTGAGCTCCACCTGCCTCTGCCTCCGGAGTGCTAGGATTAAAGGTGTGCCCACCACCTGGCTAAGACACGGTATCTTTAGGAGGGAGACAGTGTATGCAGTGAAACAGAGTTACCACAAGCTGAGTTAGCCTGTATTTCAGATTATTCATGCTTCCTTGGTGTATCCCTGTGGATTTATTTGGCACCTCAGGACACATTTGGGAAAATTAGCCCTAAGTAAAAACAACCCCTTATAAACATCACCTTTCCATACTTCTAATTTGTCAATTAAAACCTTGTAATTTGTATCCTAATTAATTTTCATAGAGGTCATATGTCATGAGAGCTCAGATCCATGGATTCTGGGCACCAGATTTTGTTTGGAAGCTAATGCAACACTTAGTATGTAGAAAATACACAATTAAACTTGTGTTTAAAAACTTACACTGTGTATTTTAAATTTTATTCTGTCATTTAAAATGTCTTCACTATTTCCTTATTAAAATCAGACATGCATATGTATATATATAATATATATACATATATATGCATTTTATACACACAGATACACATATAATTTGCACCAAGAACCTTATGCACAATACGTATGTTCTCTAACAATGAGTGTACTCCCCCATGTCATATATGTGGTGGATACACATCACAGTTTAATTGATGTGGTACAGAAACCCATCTTCAAATAAGTAAGGGATGAATTTGAAGGGGATAATACTTTACTACTTGTAGTTTGTTCATTTTTTTTTTTTTTTGTGAAGAAGTAAGCTGCTATCTGTAAGTTTAAATACCAAAATTCTGAATTATAGGAAAAAAAGATAGACGAATGCTATATTGTAAGGCCTTCTCATTAATGATTATACTTGTGGGGCCATTTATGTTAGAATCAATGAGAGTACTTTAAAAAGAAGTGCACAAGAGCTAGTCACAACTGGGGCTCAGTAGTTTAGAGCATTGGTTGCTCTTCCAGAGGACCCAAGTTTTATTCCCAGAACCACATGTTGGCTCACAACCATTTGCAACTCCAGTCCCAGGGAATCCAATGCTCTCTTCTGGCCTCTGTGGGCCCTGTCTGCATGTGCTACATCAACATATATGCAGGCAGAATACCCACATACATGAAATGAAAATAAAGATTAAAAACTAAAGAAGAATCAGTTATATTTACATTGTTCTTTACACCTCATGGTACTGAATTTTAGAAAGCTGAGAAACAGTGAAAGGCCCCTATATTTGAACATGCATGTTCATCTCCCCTCTCTTCTCTTCCTTTTCTCCTGTTTCTTTGGAAGGCTGATGATGAGGTTTTCACTGTTCTTTCTACCCTAAAAAGAAATATGCTTCTAATCTATCCGTTGGACTTAGGCCCAATGTTACTTAAGGTAATAAGGAAACATTGTCCTCCCCCCCCAAGAGTTACGTTACTATAGTTTAGAGCAAAATATACATACACTGAGTATTTTGCCTATCAAAATTAGGGTAGTAAAAATTAAGGTGACAAACAATATATAAAGACTATAACCACATCTGGGGAAGTCAGGCTAACTGCCCCCGTGCTTGGTGCTTGATGCATGGCTTGCTAGGGCATCCATTTCTCCTGATTGGACTCCAGTCCTTGAAGAGTGAAGGGACCAGCTGCTGCAAATTAATTCCCTTTCAGAGTAAGCAGACTACAAAGCACAAAGAAGTTCTTGTGGACCTCAGTTACCTGCTGTTTCTCTGTCAGCCGAGGTCAGCTCTCCATTGATCCCATTCTCTTTGGTATCCGAGTAGGAGCCCTGCGACCCATGCTCCCCGAAGGCTCCCTCCTCCTCCTCTCTGTATGGAAATCCATTGGCGCTGCGGCTCAGCCCTTCCCCTGCCCCGCCTTGGTCCTTCATTTCTGGAGGGTGAGGGTGTGCAGCTGCCTCTGTCAGTGGGGCTGACATCCAGTGTGGCGCCTTTCCATCGTCTTTCCGCTCATCAGCCATCCTTCAGAGCTGTACTGTCTCCTGAAGGCAGAAAGTGTGTGTGTGTTAGCTATCACTTTGGGCAGTCCTGATCTAAAAGCTTTGGTAGTGAAATGAGGGAAATTTTGAGGCCAAATCAGTGGCTTGCTTTATCGATAACCATTCTTAAAAAAAATTAACTTATTATCAACACAATAGTTTTTACATTTACATTGCTTTTGCAGAACATTTTTGGAATGTTCCATGAAATCATATATATTCTACAAACAAACAAACGAACGAAGAAACACACACACACACACACACACACACACACACACACACACACACACATACCACACCACATCTTAACCAATGTCCTTGACATACACTCTAAATATTGACTCGTTAGTAAGAATCATGCACTGGGGGAATTTGCAGTGGAAAATTAAGTAGAAAAAGGCAGGAAGAGAAATGGCTGGAGGAAGTAGTCAGTTATCAGACAACACTCAACTACTTTTTAAAAGTATAACTTACAAGAGAATCTAGAAGAGAAAATGGCTAACACTTTCATTCCAACAGCATTCATGTCAAACCAGCTGAATATTCTCTTCTGAGTACTGTGTTGTAATGAAAGTTATTGACTAAATTTTCCAACAAACATTTCTTAACCCTACCGCTAAAACCGAAGAGACTCTGATATTTTTCTACAAGCACAAATCTTGCAGGGAAAAAAAAATAATGAGAACAATAGTTATGAGAACCATGTCCCGCTTAATGACATCATTCCACTACTAAGTCAAGGAGGATCTGAAAAATGCTCTAGCATTGACGTGAGTGATGAAGCTGTGAATTATAACGCAGGATGGGTTCACTGTGGAGGAGGCATTTTCTTAACCTTAAGTGAATGGCAGATACTGTATGACCTTCTCTTACAGGCGATGCTACTAAGTTTAGAGATGCAACTGACAGGATGATTCAGCCCTCAGTTTGGAAAGCTGTTGCCAGTGATGTAGTCTTATTGACAACATACATAATGATTCTCTCTAATGGAAACCAAGAGCAATTTTTAAAAAATCAGTAACAAAGACTGTGTTAGGTAGGATCCATTTCTTATCTCCTGCTGTTTAGAGATCCCACACATAAACTAAGCTGTTATGGAAGTGAGCTTTCCTACCAGATTTCCATGAGACACTTCTTTGTTTCTGAATTTCTATTTACTTATTGTGTGTGTGAGTATGTGCATGTATGTACCAGGGTGTTCATGTGTATGTCAGAGGACAATTTTATGGAGTCAGACAGCCCTCCCCTCCCAACATTATGTGGGTTCCAGGGACTGAACTCAAATCTTCAGGCAGGTTCTGTTGGCTAACACGCACGTTCACTTGCTGAGCCATCTCACTAGCCCTGCTTCTGAATTCACTGCTGTTCTTTGCTCCCTATGTTCTTTAGTCATATCAAAAAGAATGAGGCAAGTCCACTCATGTAAACTAATTATAGAGAACCTCCAAATTTGTTTCCAAAAGTATTCAGTTTATCTTCCATAAAACCACATTTAAACAACAAAGACAGAGCTTAGCTTTCGAAACCTGGACTGAAGGACTCAAAGAGGTTTATATACATCATCCACAATGTACAAAGAACTTCATGCACCAAAGGGTTTTGCCAACAATTCCTAGTTTGATGGATTACAATATTAAAGCAAATCATTCAAAGGAAACATTAGTAATTACGTTTGTTCTGGTTATAATTATCCCACCACTTATTGCACCGCCGATCATTACATGTAATCATTTTAGGTGGTTTTCCTATAATTTCTAGTGAAATAACAGGAACTTGGAAACTTGGTCAAGTACATGAATTAGAGTTACTTGTAAACCTGTCCTGAGCTATTACTAAGGCCTAAATAAGCACTCCAAGAGGTATGGCAAACATCCTAGAAATGGAACCTGATGGGAAGAAAATACCCTCAGGACTAACTTCCCCATGTGTACATATCAGAAACTAAATATGTCCATTTTATTTGGGTGATCCAGTTACATTCTATTCCCATCCGATTCTTCACTGTGTACCAGTCAAATATCAAATTACCTAGTAAAAGAATCTAAAAACACTGTGCTTTTAAAATTGTTATGGTACCTTCACACATCTTAGAGATGAAGTTAATTATCCAGATTCAAACAGCCACCTTCTGGATACAGAGCTGCCTTCCATAGCATCCGAGTCTCAGTGTGCCTCAATGTCTTTTACTATTCCTAATAAAATTCCATACTCTTTTTTCGGCCCAATCTCTCTCTCTCTCTCTCTCTCTCTCTCTCTCTCTCTCTCTCTCTCTCTCTCTCTCTGGTGTGTGTGTGTGTAGAGTAAATAGTGAATACAGGGGAAAAAGATTACATAAAGAAGTCTGGGCTTTGCTAACATATATTTTTGAAAACTAAATAGGCTTTGTGTTTCATAATACTTTTAAAACTGTAGAAAAATCAAACAGGTAGTATAGATTTCCCACAAACTCACTATTTATATTTTTTCCAATGCTGAACATCTTTCACTAACATGACTCATTATAGTTAATAAAACAATATTTGTACATCATTAGCTAGATTCGATAGTGTTGATTACCCAATATTATTTTAGTCTGTTTCAGGGTTCTACCTAAGATATTCTACTATATTTAATTTTCTTCTCTAGGTTCCTTTAAGACTTTGACCTCCTGAGTTGAGGAGTCCTATTCAAATATATCACACAATTGGACTCTGTTTAAAAATGCCTGATATTGTTTAATGATTAGTTTGGTTTATATGTTTATGAAGGAAAGGATAGTGAAGTGTCCACTAAGTGGAAAAGGTACTAGTCTACACAAATGTGCAGACTTTTACCCTACGATTCTGGATATGTCAGGGAGACATGATGATACAAAGTCTCACAAAACAACTGGCCAGTAGCTGTTTCCTGCTATCTTATGCATTAGCATGTCTAAGAAGAGCTGGGAAATACTTAAGTCTGTAGTGTATGTTCAACTCCATGAGTTAAGATTCTATTTGTCTTTTAGAAATGAAGTTTAATTTAGAAACAAGGGGACACTGTCCTGTGTATATGCATTTGTCTCTGTATGGGTGTGCATACATCAGTGCAGTGACCATAGACTCCAGAGAGGGCATTAGATCCTTTAGAACCAGGATTACAGATGGTTGTGTTCTGCAGTGTGGGTGCTGAGAACCAAACTTAGGTTCCCTGTAAAAGCACTATACATATTTGCTCTTTAAAAGCAAAGCAAAGCAAAACAACAAACAAAAGAACTTAACAAAAATCCCAAAACAACAACAAAAACTCATCAATAGTTCTTGATAGTTAACAGCAATACAACAGTATGATAATTACTCACAACTCCCAGCTAAATTTGGCTGTGCCTCATCTCTCATTCTCAGGACCCTCTGAAACAAATATGTAAGTGAACAAAAAGTCCTCACATTTAACTAAAATTTTGGACCTTTTAAAAATTAAATAAAAAACTGATTTTGGAAGAAGGGCTATCTAAGCACATGAATTTCACTTAATACCACAATCACAACTAAATCTAAGTACCTTGCCTGCAAATTATTACCTAACTGCATGAGAAATTACAGGTTACTCAGCCATCACTTCCTAAATTTGAGATGTATATAGTCTAACCATCTATTAAGTGCCAGTCCTCATTATGCTGACAAAGCTACTGTGACAGGAAGTATGATTGAAATAGGGTGTTGCTGCATTGGGGATGGGGAGTAGAGTTTGTTGCATCAAAGATGACACTATTTGATAATGTTCATTTATATTCAAAACTGATTATTAAAATCAGAAGATGCATTTTACTTAAATTCTAATGGAAATTTTGGGGTCACATTTGTACTTGTATTTCAAGTTCCCAAGAGGATAGGTAGACATGTGATAGCTAGCCTTGGCTTTTAAATTGACAGTCAGAAAGATGGGACTTCAGTTGAGAAATCTCCTTGTAAAACTGACCTGTGGGCATGCTTGTGGGACATCTTGAATGCCAGTTGATGTAGGAGGGTAAAGTTCTCTGTGGGCAGTGCTACCCTGGGGCAGGTGGACCTTTACTGTGTTAAACAGGGTATCCGACAATGAAGGTGAAGCAAGCCAATCGATAAGCAGCATTCCTTCATGTTTGCTGCTTGAATTTGTCCACATCTCTAGGTTCGTGCCTCTGCCTTTCTTGATGATGGAATATAATCTCTAAGATGAAATAAACTCTTTCTTCTCCCCAACTGGGGCTTGGACAGTTTGTGGGGCTGCTGGCAGTGGAACTAGTAATTATCACTAGTGCATGAACATGCTCTTTGGAGCCCATTCTCTATGGAGGGATACTCTCTCAGCCTAGATACAGGGGAAGGGCCATGGTTCTGCCCCAAATAATGTGACAGACTTTAATGATCCCCCCCCCCATGGGAGGCCCCACCCTCTCTGAAGAGCAGAAGGGGTTGGGACAGGGAGATGGGAAGATGGGAGGGAGAGGGAACTGGGATTGGTATGTAAAACAAGATTGCTTTTTAATTTAAATAAAAAATTAATAAAAAAAACCCACTTTCCTTCCCAAGTTGCTTTTGCCCTGTGTTTTATCACAACAAGATAAACTGAACTAGGGGAGCAAGGAAATAGCTTAGTGAGAAAATTTAATACTATAGAAAAACTCAATTCATAACTTTAAGGCAAGTGCATTCCAATTTTCACTTACTTGAACTTTTAAAAAATCTCACATGTTAATTAATGTACCTTATAGGTTAGCCTGCCCATTATGAGTGCTGTCACTTAATAAATTGTTATACTATTAGGATAGTCTTATATTTACATACATATTTTTAACATTTTCTGGGCTTCAAAACTTGAGAAGTTTGCTCAAACATCTGTCTGGATGTGTTAAAATATTCATATTTTTGTGTTTGTGAGAAAAATTTAGACCTGGCTACAGGCAGCCCAAATATCTGTCTTTAAATATGAGAAACATATTTAAATATTGTTTAATACATTATTAACCCTTGCAGTAAGGATCTATACAATGAGA